AACAAAAGATACTTCTTGAAAGAAAGACCTGCAGGAAAAATGCAAAACAATGGAGGCTGATGGACTGTTACTACAAGAACAAACAAATCGCTTCCCTAGGAAACATCAAGGCAAGTGGACAGGTCCTCTCAACGCAAACCCCCTTCCAAGACTAAGACTCAACAGAAATGCACACTCCGATTGGTGACCACACGCATCACTAATGGGGGGAAGTGGGGTAAAAGCAGCAATGAAGCAGCAAGCTAAGCCCTACAACGTTCAGTGGGCTTCTGTGGACCCAGTTGGGGACCTGGTTGGCAAGCAGTGTGAGGAGACCTGGGGACTCTTGGGCCCAGAGTCAGTGGCGTGGCCACGGAGGACTCGAGTGGAGAGTGGAGGCTGATGGGAAGAGAGGGCATGTGCACAGGAGCACCCACACTTGCAGATGGTACCCACATGACCTGGACCGGATGACTGGATGATCAGAGCTCAACCTGGAGAAGAAAGAAGAGATTTAAAAAAAAAAAAAAAGAGTGAGCTGATACAATCTGATGAACTTGACCTATACCTTTGGAGCAGCAACTCAAAAGAAGGAACAAATCCTTACAGCAAGAAACATTCCCACCCCCTCCACACACAGAGTGGACAGTGATGGGCAACTTGGACACTGGATACTCAAATGGGGAGGGGAGGACTACAAAGGCAAGAAATGACTGGCTTACAAGCTTTCAAGAGGGAACCTAGTACTAGGGGGCATGGAGGAAGGCAGAATCTCCACTGGGTACTATTCAATCTGTCTGGACGGAGCTGATGAAATGAAATACAGACGGGTAACTCGTGATACTGTAGTGAATAATGCTTATCAGGACGGATGATGAGGGTTGGAAATGCAAAGGTAGACGTTTTGTAACAAGGAAGGGAGTGCTTAATTCTCCAGTCTAGGAGCGGAGGTCTCTGGGACCATCAACGGAGAAGAGCCGAGAGCGGGACCTTACCCAGAGAAGCAGAGATGCCTGAGATAGAGACAGAGACGATGACGTGGAGTGATGAAGTGGCTGGGGACTTTGGATCCAGAGAGGGAGAGGAACTGTGGGCCGAAGACCTGGGGGGGTGGGGGTGGGGAGTAAGGGAAGGGGAAAGTGTAGGGGGTGGGTTTCTAGGATATACCCTTTGGTCAGTTGATGATGCATGGAGGGGATTGAAACCATGGCAATGAAATGATATATGGTGGAATGAATGTAGAACTAAAGTTCTCTCATGTAAACTATCATATAATTCACAATAAAACATTAAAAAAGTAAATATTCAGTTACTGAATGCTGCTAAGAAGTCTAGTAAAACATGAACAACAACAACAAAAAAAAAAAACAGAATCCTTTGTATTTTGTTTCATAGAGGGTCCATGAAGACTTTAGTGAAAGCCAGTACACTGTAGAATCTGATGACAAGTTGCAGAGTAATTCCAAGGTAAGGAAGTAGAGGAACTACCAAATAGTTAAATCATGAAGCCAACAGAGAGATAGGTAGTAAATAGCTAGAGAACTCTGGTAACCAGGGAAATGATCCTGAATAGCAAAGAGGTAAAAACAAACAGACAAAACCAAAGCCACAACCATCAAGTTGATTCCAAATAATAGTGAGGCTATAGAACAGAGTAGAACTGCTCCTTGGGGTTTCTCATACTGGAATTTTTTACTAGAGCAGACAGCTTCTTCTTTCTCCCTTGGAGCAACCGGTGGGTTTGAACTGCAAGCCTTAAGATTAGCAACCCAACAATTACCCCACTACACCACCAGGGCGGCTCCTAAAGGTGTTTTGTTGTTGCTGTTATGTGGAGTCGGTTCCCACCCATAGTGACCCTGTACAGGGTTTCCAAGGCTGTAAATCTTTACGGGAGCAGAAAGCCTCATCTTTCTCCCGCGGAGCAGCTGGTAGTTTCGAACAGCTGACCTTGAAGTTAGGAGCCCGATTCGTAACCACTATGCTACCAGAGCTCCTCCTAAAGGCGTAATAAGGTTGATATATCTGAATAGCATGGGACTCAAATAAGTAGAGTCCTGATGTGGTGCTGTAGTGTAAGCTCTGGACTGTTAACCTCAAGATTGACAGATCAAGCCACGAGTTGCTCCTTGGAAATCCTATACAGGGTCACTATGAGTCAGAAACCACTGGATAGCACTTAACAACAACAAACAAACAGATGAGACAACTCTCACAATCCTGAAGTATGACAACACAGTGAGGTAATCCAAAAAGTACTTAGTGACTGGACACATACTAGTTGTCCTAGTCAGGGCAAGAGTTTTATCTGCTTTATAAATCACTACATTCCTAGGACCTAGCACAGTGCCTGGCAAGAAGCAGGTGCTCAATAAATATTTGTGAATGAATTTAAAAAACTGAAGCCAATCTTACATAATACTAGCTACCTTGATTGTCTCTCTTCTCCAATCTATTTTGTTTTCTTGCTGTGTGCCAACTGTATCACTTAAACAGGTAAAAATGTTAACTATGACTAGTATTGGAGTCCAGGTGTGGCGCTGTAGGATAAGCAATGGACCACAAGATCGGTTTGAACCACAAGGGCAGCAGTTCAGACTCACCAGCCACTCCTCGGAAACTCTACGGAACGTCCCTATGATTCCGAACAGACTCAAAGGCACTGAACAACAACAATTACGAGTATTACTGTCATTGTGTTTGGCTTCCCTTGCCAGTTTGTAAGTTTCCTGAAAGCCAAACTTATGTCCACTAAAGAAAGGACACGCCAAGTGGCTTGCAGGAAGTAACATTAAATAATCATGACCCTGGATAAACTGCTTCTGACCAAGAATTTCATACAAAGAATTCCAAAAATTTCATACAAGAAATAGCAATGATCACTAGAGGATCACAATCTGAAAGCAAAGCTACTGAGGACAGAGCCAAGGCCGCCACCCCGGCAGGGGGCACCATCGCTTCCAGCAACCAGCTGCAGTCCCGCCCACAGCCCCTGCGGTCACCTGCAGCGGCTGCACTCTGGCCTCCGCTCAGCTAGTTCGACCGGTAGAGCCCAAAGCCCGTCCGCGCTGGCGCCGTCTGCCTCCATGCCCAGGGTAGCCACCGCTGACTCCACGCCTTCTTCCTGCCCCTCCTCAGTCGGGGTCTGACACCTCGAATCCCCAGGAGACCACACGATGGGGTCCCCGAGAGTTTGCTCCTCTTTCTGCCACTCCATGTTAGGCGCTCAGGTCTGGCTGCAGCATTGAGGCCCAAGTGCCGCCGGGGGGCGCCACGAACCGGACAAACCGACCGGCTCTGCACAGCGGAAACGCATGCACGCACGCACGCCACGTAGGGAGGCGGAGTCTGAAACTCAAGATCCTGCCCCACTGCTGGATAGGAACAACCCTATTCGTCAGTGCGGGCTGGGCCATTTAACCTGGAACCAGGAAGGAAAACTTTTTCTGTGCTATGGTGCAGCGTATGGCAGCATGTAGCGTCCCTGGGACTGGTAAGGGAATCCTCCCCTGAAAGCACTCCAGATAACAAACCATAACATGACCCCTTAATATCACCCCTTAAAGAGTGAAAATAGAATGGAATACTGCATTTTCCACTCCAAGATGACAATTTCAGGAATAGATTCCCAATATCAGTCACACAGAGTGCACAAGTAAGCTCTAAAGGAGCTGATTCACTTAATAGCCACAGATCAACAAAAGAGGCTATACTCATTAAAATCCATAATCACGTGGTTAGTTTCATTGTGTGAATTTCTTGTTCTAAAAGGACAGAAACCTGTCTTGTATTTCTTCACATCAAACACTATTTTGCAATAGACGGCAAACATTTTGTTAACTGAATGACATTTGAGGGGGTTATTCTGTTGTTGGAGTCTTCGTGTGACACTTTGAGATAAGCGCTCAACCACTAACTAGGTTGGTTTGAAACTGAAGATCGTGATACAAATACACTAGGCGCTCCTCTGAAAACCCTATACAGGGTCGTTATGAGTCGCAACAGACTTGATGGCACTTAACAACAATTCTGTTGAGAATATGCACAGCAAAAACACCAATTCAGCAGTTTCTACATGTGAAATTCAGTGACGACATTCTTCGACCATCCTTTTCTGAGCTATTCATCCCCTATTAATACAAACTCACTGCTCCCTAATGTTTTTTATCTTTTACGTTGCTGTTATCAATTTGATCTCATATGTTGTTGTTGTTAAGTGTGGTCAAGTCGATTCCAACCCATAGCGACTCTGTATAGGGTTTCTGGGGAGCAGCTGGGGAGCTTAAACCGCTAACCTTGCAATTCAAACGGCTTTGGAATCTGGCGCATTAACCCACAGCGCCACAGCAGAACTCAGATAGTTCTTAAAAGAGCTTGATGGTCTCCAATATCATTTTTTAAAGAGATGAAAAAATGATAACAAACTTTATATGGAGATGATGAGACCTCGGGTAAGCAAAGCATTATTTAGGAAGAAGAATAAAGTTGGAGGCCTCACACTCCCAGATCTCAAAATTTATTGCACATCCACAGTGGTCAGAACAGCCTGGAACTGATACAACAAAGGATACATAGATCAATGGAACAGAATCGGGAACCCAGAAATAAATCAGCTGATCTTTGACAAAGGGCCAAAAGACATGAAATTATTTCTGTATATTGTGTGAGATATGGGTCTTATTTCATTCTTATGCATTCTTTGCCAGTACTATACTGGCAAAACTGGAAATAATTTGCATAAGAATGGAATTAAACCCATCCATATCTCACATAATATATAAAAACAAACTTACCATAGATTGGAGAATCTAGAACTATAAAGATCACCAATGAAAAACTGGGGACAAACTTAGGGGACTCTAATATGTGCCATAAGCACAATACTATCAAACTACTAAAAACACGCAGATAGCAGAAGACAAAATAGATGACTCAGACCTCCTAAAAATTAAACACTTAGGTACATCATGGACTCCTGGTGTGATGCTGTAGGATCAGCACTGGAATGCGAGCCACAAGGTCGGCAGTTCAAACCCCCAGCTTCTCCTCAAAAACCCTATACAGGATTGCTATGGGTCAGAACCAACTTGACAGCACTTAACAACAATCGAACACCTCTACAAGAAAGAGACCACTCAATTAAAAGATGGGCACAGGACATGAACAGACATTTTACCAAGGAACACATTCAGATAACCAACATGCATATGAAGAAATGTTTATGATCATTAGCCATTGTTGTTGTTGTTAAATACCATCCAGTCAGTTCTAACTCATAGCAACTCAGTATATGGTTTCTGATGAGCTGACCTTGTGGTTCAAACTGATCTTGCGGTCCTGCATTTATCCTACGAGGACTTCAATTAGCTACTGTTGCTATGTGTCATTGATGTTAATTGTGCAACCCTACCCTTACTGTGCAGGCCTGGTATGCGCTATAGGATAAGAACTGGACTGCTAACCACAAGGATGAAGGTTCAAACCCACCATCTACTCCTCAGAAACCCTGCACTGGTTTGCTGAGTCAGAACTGATTGCATAGCACTTTACAACAACAGCCCTCTCCCTGGGAAGCATGATAGCTATGTAGGATAAGGAATGCACTGAAAACCACAAGGTAGAAGATTTGAGGCCACCAGCTGCTCTGGGGGGAAAAGATGAGGCTTTCTGCTCCCACTGGATTCACAGCCTTGGAAATCTTATACAGGGTCGCCATGAGTCTGAACCAACTCAAGGACACTTAACCAACAACAACAACGCTTATTCAGTATGATTTTTGCATCACTGTAAACCAAAACACTGTACTTCATAAGCAACAGCCCTCTTTCCCCATCCCTCCCACCCCTGATAGCCACTAACATTCTTTGGTAGCTGCTCATTTGCCTTTTCTTAACTTTATATAAAAGTGAAGTCATACCAATATTTAACCTTTTATGATGACTTATTTCACTTAGCATAATATTTTTCAAGTTCCATCTATTTTGTAGCATGTATCAAGGAGCTCTGGTAGCGTAGTGGTTTTTAATTGGCTGCTAACCTTAAGGTAGGAAGTTTGAAACTACCAGCCGTTTCACGGGAGAAAGATGAGGCTTTCTGCTCCTGTAAAAATTTGCAGTCTCAGAAATCCTGTGCAGGGTCACTATAAGTCAGAACTGACTCCACATTACTTAACAACAACAACATCAAGACTTTAGAGTCCTGGTGTGACACTATGGAATAAATCACTGGACCGCAAGGTCTGTGTGAACCACAAGGTTGGCGGTTCAAACTCACCAGCCAGTCTTTGAAAACCTATGAGTCAGAACTAACTCAGCAGCACTAACAGCAACAACAAATAAAGATTTCATTTCTCCTATGGACTGAGTAGTATTCCATTGTATGTATATGCCACACTTTATCCATTCATCTACTAATTGACATCTAGTTTGTTTCTACCTTTTGACTATTATGAATACTATTGCAGTGAAAATAGTGTCTGTTCTGTTTGAGGCTCCACTTTAAAGTTATTTAAATATATACTTAGGAGTGAAATTGCTGGGTTATATGGTAGTTATGCTCTTAGTTTTTTGAGGAATGACTACATTGTTTTTCACAGTAACTGTGCCACTTTGCATTCCTACCAGCCATGGATATGGGTTCCAATTTTCCCACAGCCTCACCAACATGTGTTGTGTTTTGATTTTTTGGTTTTACTTTTTTCTTAGTCATCCTAGTGGAAGTGAAATGATCATCTCATTATGGTTCTGATTTGCATCTCTCTGATGGCTAAAGATGTTGATCCCCTTTTTACATGTTTGGTGTGTTTGACAGCCATTGAATGTCCTCTTTGGTGAAATATCTATTTTAAGTTTTTTGGCCATCCTATGATTGGGCTATTTTGTTGTTAAATTGTTCATGTTTTATATAAGGGTGCATGAAAAAGTTCATGGGAAATAGAAAAATAATGGCTTTGGGGTGTTTTTTTTTCCCACAAGCTTTCGAAGTTCCATCATATTAGATAATCCATTGTTAAAAGCTAGACCAGCAACATGTTGTTGTTGTTGTCAGGTGCCATCGAGTCGGAACCAACTCACAGCGACCCCATGCACAGCAGAACGAAACAATGTCCGATCCTGGGCCAACCTCACTACCGCTGCCACACTTGACACCATCAATGATGCCACCTGGTGGATCAATCTCATTGGGGGTCCTCCTCTTTTTCTCTGACCCACCATCTTACCCAGCAGAACATCCTTCTCTAGCGACTGTTCCCTTCTGACAACATGTCCAAAGTATGAGAGACGAAGTTTAACCATCTTGGCTCCAAGGAGCACTCTGGCTGCACTTCTTCCAAAAAAGATCTATTGGTTCTTTTGGCAGTCCATGGCACTTTCAGTATTCTCCTCCAACAACACAATTCAAAGGCATCAATTCTTCTATGATCTTCCTTATTCACTGTCCAGCTTTCGCATCCATATGAGGTTATTGAAAATACCATGGCTTGGGTCAGGCGCACCTTAGTCCTCAAGCTGACATCTTTGCTCTTCAACACTTTAAGAAGTTCCTGTGCAGCAGATTTGCCTAATGCAATACGTTTGTCTGATCTCTTGACTGCTGCTTCCGCAAATATTGATAGTTGATCCAAGAAGAATGAAGTCCTTGACAACTTCAATCTTTTCTCCATTGATAAGAATGTTGTTTATTGGTCCAGTGGTGAGGATTTTTGTTTTCTTGACATTGAGATGCAATCCATACCAGCAACATAGCTGCTGAAAAAATGAATGAAGTGTTTTGATTGTCAAAGGTCCTTAAAATCAGGAGGCAATAGGTAGGCTGGACTGGGACGCAAATAGGTTTTATGGATGAGAAAATAAACTACTTAGCCCAAGTTTTTAGTTACTAGATAATAGCAATATTACCTAGCAGTTCAGTGGTTTAAAAGCCAAAATGAAGCCCATGCTAAAAGGAAGATCAAAATGCTTATTATCTAAAATGTGTAATGATTTCTTTTCATTAATTAGTGATTAATGTTACATCTGGAGTCATAGCGTGGTGTTATAGGATAAGCACTGGACTGCTAAACACAAGAGCAACAGTTAAACCACCAGCTTTTCCTTGGAACCCCTATACAGGGACACTATGAGTTGGGACTGACTCAGTGGTACTTAACAACCAGCAATGTTACTTCTACCAATGCACAACATTTAAGCAAAGAATTATTCAAACCACTCCTAGTAT